ACAGAGATACAGTTAAAATATTCAGCTGGCCAGAATCAGCTCATTCTGTTTCTGGAGAAGCCAGCTGTAAAAGACATTAAGCTTAACAACAACATATACAGATGTTGGGCTTTTCTGTGTATTAATGTTACCCACTAACTTCATTTAGCACTGAAGTCTTGAGAACCGAACATTATGATCTACTCTAACAAGACAATGACAAAACAAGAAATGCATGTCTAATGGTTATAACAACACCATACTCTTTGTGGAAAAGCTCTACAAAATTTAATAGGTATGGACCCTATAGGATTCTATGGAATAGAACTTTTTAGTAGGGTCTTACCGAAATTGTTTTACAAGGCTAGATTTTAGCACCCGTACTCACAAGAAGTTACTCCTAGCATAGTCACGTTGATCAGTGTAGTTGTATTACTAATCATGCAGTGTGGTTAGAATCTAGCCCAACAAATTGAATAGCAAATGATATACTTCCTGTAGCGGTTTTCTCAATAGCACGCTATTGCAGGGATACAATTCTTTATTAAATTCTATAGACTGGTTCAAAAAGTCTGGTCACCTAAACAAAGACGATCATTTTCTTTTAAATTTTGTAGGACTTTTTCATAAGGCACAGCACGCTCATTCTGTCTAATCTGATCCACTCCATTGATGGTCCTGGTACTCGGGTTCCAATGCCATCCTGTTGCACGTTTCATTCAGAAAGATCCTGAAGTATACGGGCTTGGATCACTTCATCCACTTCTGTAATACAGCCACCTCTGGGAAGGAAACCTAGTGCCATAAACCTTACAGAATAATGGGGGATAAACTTTGTTTTTCTCCTAGGGTTTCTTGTTCTCCAAAACTAAAATGACACAGTCCCTCAGCTTAGCTTAGGGTCTGCGGTCTGGCCAGGAAGCTCATTCCATTGACAGGAATCTGAACATGAGGCATCTGAACTACAACTACTGTGAGGACGCACAGCAGCATTTCTGAATAAAAAAGTTTGGTTTTCAGCCAAAAAAATGGATTTTTCACAACAAAAGTCAAAAAATTTTATGGGTTGGGGTGAAAGGGTGAATTCCAGTAAGCTCTGCTCTTAACCTGTGGTTCACATAGGGATTTGCATCTAATAAAAAAGCATTGCATTTCTAGTGTATGTAAAAAAATTCTCCCTAGCAAACAAAACACCAGGGGAGGTATAGCGTGGCTTCTATCTTTCAGTATTACTGAAGCTACAGGAACATTGGTTACTATAGTTCAGGAGGAAAAATAGAAGCATTTATCTTGCTGCGTAGGATATTTCTTTTCTCTCTCTCTCTCTCTCTCTCTCTCTCTCTCTCTCTCATATGCAAGGTTCTTTGCTGTCTCATAACATCGTCCTCTCATTCACAGCATGAGGCCAGCCGCCACTTTCCAATCCCAGCGTGACAGCCTGTCCTGACATTTCTGAGCATTTGTAAATATCTGTTTTGAACAACATCACAGCACAAAACTTAACTTGTGTAACCTGGCTGTAGGCTTGGCCCCTTGTCAAGCCTACCCAGCATTCAGTGGGCTTTACAGAGAGATCCACACAGCCTCGGAACTAATTGAATTTTAATGAGAGGAAGTCATTTTTCCACTGGAAGAATGCTGAGCTAGAGAAATATTGTGAAACTCCCCTAAACCAATTCCTGTCACACAGTATGCGATGGAAAGTCACCCTTTTCATAATACACTGCTCATACTCCACTTTGCTTGTGACCCTTGTTCCCCTCTGAGTTAAGTAATTTCAGCTTCCAAAACAAAATCTATTCAAGTTTGGTTTGTCCCGATGAAGATTCAGACAAGCACTCCCTTAACTTTCAGCTCCCACTGAATCATGTTGAAACAAAGACAGCCTAGGCCCTAAGCCCTCCAAACGCTGCCATTCCCAGTTAACTGGGTCATTCCAAGTTCCCAGCACAAACTACAAACTTGTAACAGCCACAAAACTCCACGGCTGTAGAAAACACCTAAAACGTACTATTAGGTCCTTGAGATTTGCAAAACTTACCTACAGGAGTTACAGAAGCTTCAGTCTCATTGTAAGTGGATTCAGGGCCCAGAAATTAGAAACTTTCTAGAAATATGTGCTTTGTTAATGATTCGCGTCTCTTTCCCATTGCCCCAAACCAAGGTTGTCTTCAGACATACTTTCTGCTTAGAGCTGGGGGGGGGGGAGAGGAAACTGAAGGAAATTAGGTTACTGAGAAATGAAGGAAATTAGGTTACAGTCTGCTGCCTTCATAAAACCTTTTAATTACATTCAATTTATAGCTATTGGCATCTTGATGTTTTTGTGTGTGCATGTTGAAATATCTTGCTTGCTAGGCAAAGAAGGCGAACTAAAAGCATATATTGAGGGGAAGGCTTTTGTATTCTGATAAATTGTCCTCTTCTGCTATAATAATTGTTCTGGGCTTCTCTGTGTCTGCAATCATTTGGCACATGTATATTGCAATCGGTGCCGGCACCATCGAAACAGCCTCCTTTGCTGTTGGCTAAGAGGAACACTGGGTCCGTTTGTCCCATGAATCTGCTCCAATCAAGGCCACTTCGTTACCAGTGATGGCACGAATATCTGACCGCCTGTGAAAAGCTGATAGCGGAATTGGCAAAGCTTTGCCAGCTGCAAAAATGTACGCTCTTGTTGTTTAGTAGGGTGGCTGTGAAGTCTCATTTCCAGCTGACAATTAAAGCCAGCCTGTTTGGAGATATGTCAAGCTTTTGGGACAGTAAAGAAATCTTCATGACTTCAGTCCTATTCATCTTCTGCGGTGCATAGTTTCATATCTACACCAGACAGCCCATAAATTGACTACCATGGAGGAGCCCGTTACAGTTTAATGAGAAATGGAACAGAATATGCAATTCCACCCAGGAACCCTTTTCACCAGGCTACTTCATAGGTGGGGTTTTTGTTGGTTTGTTAGGTGTGTTTTTGTTTTGTTTTATAATAATGGAGGATATGTCTTTTCAAATGGCTAAAAAAGAGCCTATAAAAATGACCTAACTTGAATAAGACTCGGATTTCTTTAAGGGGATCTACTAGGCGCATAGGGCCAGGTCTCCAGTAAAGGTCTCTGCTTTACATAACAAATCTGCTGAAATGCAGCATTCAATCTGGTTACTGAGTTTTTCTGGAAGCACATCCAACACTTTAGAAAAACAACTTCAGTGCCCATTAAATCCAGCTTTTACTTTCCTCTTTAATTGTTAATCTTCCCAGGAAATGTCTATTCATTTAATGCAGTTAGAGATACAGTCATAACCCTCTTCTAGCTGAGTTCTAGTGATGTTGAGTCAATGCATTTTTGCACTGTTTACAGCAGCCCTTCCAAATGTAAATAACACTAAACAGCCCTAGGACTTTCTTTCCAAGTCACAGATAGCACAATGCTGACTAGAGGTGACTTCACTGAACCATAATTATTCATATTGTTGCAGGAACCTTGCATGCAATGCTCAATTTGCTCCATGAGGCGCACTCAACTCCAGCTCCAAACAAATGCAATAAAACTAATGAAGGATGAGCTGCAAAACGTAATGGGCCTAATTCTGCATCCACCTACAACAGCTTTGCTCCATTGACTTCAATAGCGTTACTCTTTATTTATACTTGTGCAAATGAGAATCCAGTACTCCTGGACATATACAGGCAAAAGAGTAGACAGGATCTCTGAAACTGCAGCTTGACCGAGGTTTATTGTGATGTTCACATATCAGTCTAGGTGCCGAACTATGGAAAGAATCACCGATCTCCATCTCCCCCATATCTGACTAAACTCCTATGCCTGGCTGCCTCTGTCACAACCCTGAATAGCAAATGCTCAGAGGCATATTCCACAGACGAAGAACTGTTTACAGAAACTACTGGGCCGATAATTTCAAACTTCTAATAGGACTAAGAGAAAGCCGCTCTCGGCTTGTGGACACTTTGTGACTGGAAAAAGAGGTGGCACTTTGTTGAAATTCTTCATGAATTATTCACCCAGCTTTACCTAGCATTGTCCTATGCGACGGCTGTGGGCGGGAAGGGAGGCACCCACTCAGTCTGGCGATGCGACAGCTTTGTTGCGTCTTAGGGCACGAGATCAGGGTTCAAGGCCATGCCCATGGAAGTGGTAGCACCTCTCCCTAGCCAGGCCTTATAGTCTTGAGAGCAGCACTGTGCTAAGCAAGGGATTGCCTTCCTCAGCCTTCACTTCCAAGCCACAGCAAACAACACAAAGCTGAGAGCAGGAACGAATGGAAACCCCGTTGTTATGAAGGTCAGAGCCCTGACCCATACACTAGGGCAAACCAATGTCCTGAAATTGCAGAAACACAGACTCCTTGTTTGTATTCTTGACCAGAATCAAAGCAAGGGAACGACAGCCTGATTTAAACGACACCGACAAGCAAGGGGAAAGGTTCCCAGAACCCATTTCAAATGGCTAAAATGGGACTCTATAAAATGTGATGATTCTCAGCCAAGTGGGATAAGATTCTGATTTTAAGAGCAGCCACTCTATCAACTGGCCCAGACAGCCAGTTTATAGGCTTTACATTACTGAACTCTGCTTAAACATTGCATTCAGCCTAGCCGCTGAGTTTCAAATGCGTGCAATGCTTGAGAAAGACCGTCCAGTGCCAGTTAAATCCCGATTTTACCTTCCACAGGATCATATGAATGTGAAAGCCAGATTCAGAGGCAGTTTAATTAAAAAAAATAAACTCTCTAAGGGCCAGATTTATCAGTGTCACTCTATTGGAATCAGCTAATTTACCCATCTGAGGATCTGGCCCACAATTCTGATCACTATTAAAATAGACATTATATCCAATAAATCCAGGGTAGGACATTATTTAACAATAAGGCTTCAAAAACCCAACAACAACCCCCATGATGAGTCCCAACAATGAGTTTTATTCATCAACCAGAACAGCAGCTCAAAGGCTTTGTACAGCATCTCCCTCTCACCCCCAGGCTACTGCTTACATCCGTGTCTTACCTCAAAGACTTCCTCATCCAGTATCCTGGTTCCAAACACAATGATGCCGTTGACATCAATGACGGGGTGGTCGCTTCTGTCCAAGAACTTAGTTACCTTCTTTTTACAGTCCAAAATCAAAGTGACGTTTTTCTTCTGTACACTGATGGCTATTCTGTGCCACCTGTGAAATAACACAGCCCGCGAGCTAGTTAAACAGAGCCTTCTGCTTTCATTAATGAGCCAACAGTTTATAACAATTAGTTGATCATGCAAGGCTGTTGATATAAAACTATGGGCCAATCATTGTCCCCAATCGAGGTGAAATTCACTGATGGGCAGAGGGCCGGTAAAAGGCCCATGCATCACTTAAATCCCCAAAAGATAGGAATTCACCTGGCTGGAGCAACAGGTAGGACCACTTGGCTCCTAATCCCTCAGCGTGGGAGTCTCCCCTGCATGGATGTGGGGCGCATTGGGGGTAGAAGTGGCCCTGGTGGGGCCCCAATTTTCCCCTCATCCCCCTCTTCTATCCTCCTTAAGCCCAACACCGGGTGACATACATGGACCTTAAGTGCCACACAGGTTTGTGTAAGCCCTTTGCACAGGGGGAATGCCATCCCTATAGCCACAAGTCCCCACTGACCTGAAGTGCCTAATATTTCGCTAGTGTTAAAGGGTTTTTTGCACATCTGTTATTTATATGGCAGAATGGAAGCGCTCAGTTAGCGGAGATAGAGCACTGGTAAAATATATATATAATAGTACATACATCTTATACACACTTAGGTATTCATATAGGTACTCATATAGACTGATGATTGTTTTTATCGTGCACCACGTTCTCAATACACGACACTGCACTTACTTGCCATCTGATAGGTTAATGCCTCGAAAGAGAGGATAGTCTTCTGGGCCTGGCTTCCCGGTATGGTCTTCGTACAGGAATACAGGAGATCTACCCATCTCCATGCCGATCTGCTGGATCCCTTGCTCATTGTAAATGGAGATCAAGAAGGACTGACCTCCTTTCTTGGCTTTTACAGTGGACAGAATGGAGAAGTCCTCAGGAAAGGCTGAAGCTGAAGTGGAAAGGCAACGGGGTTAGTTGTTCTTTTGGATGTGATGGTGTGCACGCAATTCATACATCCTGCAACCCAGTGAACAGAGGAGAAACTACCAGCGATTGCTCCTCCTTCCAAGATTTGTCCATATTAGCAATCCCCAAACTGCTGCCCATGGCAGAAAGGTATGTCAGTGCTACCTGCGGATGGGGACAACGCATCCTACAGGAATGTGCCTGGCAGCCTCCATTACCAGTAATAAGACACTTTATAAACGGCAAAGTGTTGTGTACGGATACCACTGCAACACCACGATTCTAACTCGATAATGGAGCAGTACGATGGCTTCAGACAATATGGAGCTACAAAGTTCCTTGCTGGCCCCAAATATCGGGACTGTCCCTATAAAATCAGGACATCTGGTCCCCTTAGATTAAGCCCAGGGAGAAGATAGCAGAAAATTTGGTGAAAAGCAGCTCCCATGGAAAAGAGTTTTCTATTCTAAGGGCTCAGGCAGGCTTCCAGTTCAGCAGTCAACCTTGCTAGGGATCATTCGTTAATGATCAATGAGCCCTTTTCGGTCTTGACCATCGAAACGACAGCCGTGCCACGTTCCAACGCCCACGCTAAGCAGAGGAGGGCCTCCATGTTGCTGGATGGGAGACCTCCAGTGGGACACTAAGGTGCTGCTGCTGCAAGTGATGGGTGTAAATCTGTAGCATTTATGCCACTTCGTTCCATGGTATGCCCTGGAACTTCTTAGGAGACAAGATATGCTGTGCCATAGGGTCTAGAGACGCTGGAAATTCAGGGATTATTTTTATAAAAATCTCCCCTGTTAAGTAGACACATGCAATGTATTAGGTACTTTGTTGTTTTGCTGGGGCTTTTTTAATCAGTTTTTGTCTATTTTGTCTATTTAGGCAAGAACAGAGCATTCTGTGGCTTTGGCTCACCGCATTAGCATGGGCAGCACAAATCTAAAAGCAAAAATAAATCCAACAATAAAATGGAGACTTTGGTTTGACTGAGCTTTGAAAAGCGCGTGGCAAAGACGGCTTCTCATGCCAATCGTCCACAGCGATACCGTGGCCCATGTCCTCCTTCACATGGGGCTTAAAGTGTGATTAGAGTCAGGAAAGCAAGCACAATGATATTGTGGGATCCCATCTTTATTCTTGCAACACTCATGTTGTAATTAAACCCTGAAAACGGGGCTTCACTGGTGCATAGGCTCAATCCAGTCATTTGGACAGGGGTGCGTTCCAGCCTCAGAGACTGCAGATCACTTTAACCCAAGGCTGCAAGGCAGCACATGAGAGTTTTCTAACTGCCAGAGCGGTATACGCCTCCTGGCATCTGAAACCGTGGTTGGTTTGGTTTTCTGCCTCTCCCTCCATCAGCAGCACTGCAGATGCTAGAGATGAATCCAAATTGCAAAACCCACGTCCATCTCCGAAAATTAATTCCTCCAATATGCAGGGGGTGCGAATTGCTAACTAAAAGAGGGGTCGGGGGGGGCACTTCTTTAGCTTATTATAGAGAAAGGGCTGCTGAAATCTGTGTATTTCTGTCATCTTAATATGTTGTGTTCTAACAATATAACAACACTTGCAAGGGTATCTGTCCCTCGGGCTAAGGCCTTCAAAGAAGGACATAATTGGCCTCTTGCACCTATCCACTGAGGAAATCGTAAGCGAAGGAGTGCCAGAATGGAAGAGGGCGTTGCTGGGATATGTTGTGTGTGCGATGTGAACATCTCTGTGTGGTGCCTGGCAGTGTGTGGGGAAGTACTAGCCCTGTGGCTAATTTTTTAAGCTGTAAATTCACAGCCATCTAAACCACAAAAATGTTAACCCAAGTGTCCAGCAGCTTCACACAGGTTTCCCTCCCCACTGCAGGTCTACCCTCATGCACTTAAATGGTCCTATTCAGCACAGGAGTGTCACCAAGTCCACCAAGCTGGTGACTTCACTGGAACAAGGGCAGTTTATTCCAGCTGAGGGTCTGGCTCACCTTATGAATATCAATCCTTTTGGTAATACCATCTGCAAGTGGATACCACTGATCAGAATTCTGAAAAGTAACTCAGCAAAAAATATGGGGCCAGATTCTCAGCTGATGTAAAGGGATGCAGCGGCATTGAAATCAAGGGGGTTGCACCCAATTTACACCAGCTGTGGGTATGGACCAGGACGTAGTTTTCCCTAAAAGTACCGAGATGTAGTAAGGAAGTTGTTTCCCTGCACTGTTACGCTGGTTTGATGCCAGCCTAACCCCACTGACTTTAGTGAAATTACACAAGTGTAAAACCACTGCTACAGAGTGGAGAACCAAGCCCAGTGCTTGAGCCTCGTTCTTACACTTATGTTAGCTAAGACATGGTCCCAGAAATGAAGATATGTGATAACTGTGCCTTCCCTAGGATGAATTGTGCCATCTCTTTCCTTCCGCCTGTATACTCATATCACTGCATAAAATGCAGACCTTTTCCTGGTTACAATTATGGAGAACAATTTGGGGTCTTTTATGTAAAATACTTCACATCCAAAATGATCCATAAAAATGGAGAATTTCATTATGAACCCTCCGTACAGAACTTTTCAACCTCAATGACTTGCCAAAACATTAAAACGCTGCTTTTAATTTATTTTTTTATTGGTATTATTATTAAAATGTCTCCATGGCAATGTGGGTTTCTCAGCTCAAATAACCATAATTGATAAATTATGGCTGACATGACTCTGTTATTGCTCTGTTACCCTGGCAAAGTAACAATGCATTTCCTGTCCTGGTTAGAAATGATCCAGGCTATCCAATGATATGTGGAGGGGGTTCCGTTCAGAATGCAATAAAACTAATAACAAAATAGCACGTAGGATGTGATCCAAATTCTAGTGCAATAAATGGAAAAACACCCATTGACTTCAGTAGGTTTTGGGTCAAGCCTTTTTACACCATTCTACATTTTCAATGATGTTCATGCTGATTGGTGTTGAGACCCCATCTTTCCAATAAAGGGAATTACACCAGTAATGAATTTTGCCCATTGTATCAATATCCCCTCAAGGCTGAGTGCCACTCTAGCTCAGATCATTATAAATTGCTTTTGGCAGCATGCTTGTGAGTTAACTAAGTATTAATGTCCCCATTTTACAGATTTCATACCACCCAAGGCAAACGAAGGTAACCGTTTTCTAACTAAACAGGTCCCACTCTCTCAAAATGATTGTCCAACCCCCCTTAGGTGATACGGTCACCTGCTCCAAATGCCCACCAACTGCCCTGTGAGAATCATCTTAGACATTGACCTAATGAAAGCAGGATGGAAAAATGGACGCCCTTCAGCCCCAAAAGACCTAAAACCCAATGGCTGGACAGCATCAACAGACACTTGTCCCTCATAGGCACCTTACCGCATAACGTGCCGGATTTGGCATGGGACAGAACATCATGGAGGTGCATAAAGCATTTGGTGGCCTCTGTGCTGTCCAAGCGACAGCATGAGAACTAACCATTTTACAGATGGGGCACTGGCCATTGAAATATCCCCGATCTTCAGCAGCTCTTTTCAAAGGCCATTGAAGGGGGAAGGAGTGGGGTATGGGCACAAGCGAGGCACAGATTATTCCTCTGCACTCAGCCATCTCCATGCCGAAACAATTCGCTGCAAGCGAGTAGTCCGGAGACAGCATCTTCGGACTGCTCTGGCATTTCACTTTCCGGGAACAGAACAGATCCACATTCTACCATGGCAGCTTGACTTTTGCAACAAGGCATAATGGGTCTGTGAATGCCTGTGAGGGTGCTGTGACTCCACCTAACAGCCACGTCCCCTGATCCCATGAGGCTGTCCCTTAACACTGGTGCATGGGCACTAAAAAGAGACCAGGTGGTTGTAAACACTGAACACTGGAGATTCCTTCTTTTCTCCCCCTCCTTCATGATATCTGTGTCAAATGCAGTCCGTTAACAAAGAAAAACATCTTTTTACAACCACCAGACTCGAGTCTGTGGAGTTGGGCTGGGTTCTTTCCTTCTCAAAAGTCATGGTCAGTAATTAAGGCAAAATTAGACCTTTAAGTGACACCTGTTCAACCTTATTGTCTTCTAAATATAGCCTCGGCAGTGATACCTGGGCAGTTCCCCAAAGGAGTTTGAAGAGGTGTAACTAACTGGAGCCTAGTAAAGAACTCTGCTGATGAGCCAGGAAGGAAGGAAAGCATGCTCATTTTCTCTTAGCCATGCTGGTTTTATGGGGTTTAACAGATTAAAAAGCAGTCAGAACTTATTCTGTGTCACCAAAATCAGCAGATCCAACTCTGGATATCCACAAGTACCAGATCTGTTGCATAAGAAGGTACCATTTTTAGAGTCATCTTTCAGAGCAGAATGGATATTTAAAAGCCCAATTTAATCTTTTGCTATTAGTGCATCTGAGGGGACCCTGATTTTTCTGGTGTGGTTCATTTTCCTCCTAGAGGAAATGTCCTGGCTATAATCTAGGATGTTTCACCCTTAAATATACATGCACAAATAATGCAGAGAACATTAATTATGCAACAGAAATGCAAATTACTGCTTTTTCGTGGCTGCTATTGAAGGACTATGTCTTCCTCTGTCTTTCTTGCCCTTGCATGAGGTTGGAAGAACATGGTTTTGCAAGGAACCTGAAGAACTTATTTAGGGAGCTGGGGAAAGATCATCTCAGCAGATTTCCTCGCTCTCGGGGGTTTAAAAACACAAATCTGCTTTGTTGGCTGTAACAACAGAAGCAGAATGGAAAGCCCATAAAATTACAATCTTAAAGAAACACAAACTTCTAATTAGCACAAAATATTACCTGTTTGCCTAGAGCCCTTTATAGCGGAAGGGGAAAGCTATGTTTTAAAGGTTTTTACCCACACCCGCCCATTTTGTAACATGAAATCTCATTCATTTGCTGGTGGCACCTAAAGTCACATCTAGTTATGGGGCTGCATTGAGACAACACCTATATCAGAGGGAAATGCTGGCCTAGAGTCATGGTGCTGGCATAGAGTCATGATCAGCATCCAGGAGACCCAGTTCTTAACCTCTCTTTCCCAGCAACAGACAAAAGGAAGCCTTTGGAGAGAGAGATGGGGAGGTTAGTATGTCATTGAGTGGGAGCCCTTCAAGTGACTGAAGAGCTGCATTGGTGGATGCCAAGGAAATACCGTCCAGGTCTTATCAGCTAGGAAGGATGGTGGATGAAAAACAAGAATGAGAGGAGGGTAGGTGAAAAGAGATTATAGTGCGGTAGGGCAATATAAAGGACTCCACCAGGATCTCAAAATCTCTCCTTGGGATAAGAGAAAATTGTATTAATGGGCTAGAAAGTGCATTATTCAATCCCTTTGCTGCATTGGCCATGTGCATTCACTGCCCAGAAGATCCCGTCCACCTGCTTAAGCCCAGAGTCACTGAAAGTGCCACTTGAATTGCACAGCATGGAAACCTATGAAAGCCAAAACCCACTGTGCAGGGGTTAGAGCAAGCTATTATGCACACTCGAAAAGTGTCCTTTGAATGTGGCTCTTGGATACAATGTCCACAGCCAGGGAAAACATTTTGCATTATTCCAGACTGACGATGACATTGCATTCCTTGGCTTGAAAATATTTAGGCTTGGAAGAATTCAATTTTATCAGTAAATGTCGATAAACATCCGTTTCACACACAAATCGATGAAAAAGTATTTCCATCAATAATTGAAATGTACAGATAAGCAAAGTCACAAAAATACTGCTTGAGACTTTATTAGGGTTTGATTTAAGGATATTAACTTTGCATATTTTGACATGAGATGTTGACATGGTGTTTTAATGGTTATACAGCTTTAACTTTTTGAATTTCAGTGTCTTCTCTCATAATTTATGGTCTGACCTCCCAGCCCCCCGTCCCAGCCCCATTGGCCCTGCAACTCTGAAAATTTAAATCAATACAAATGGGAAAAAATACTTTAAAATAAACGTCCACCAAAATTATTTTTTTTAAATCAAATTCTGATAAGCCCCAAAATATCCATAGAGCCCTGATTTAGCTTTTACTCATTCCTTATTCAGGAAAACTTTCCACTGACTTCGGTGGGACTTTCCATGAGTAATGGCTAAGTAGCAATTGAGTGAAGGACTTCTGGATATGTTCCACAGAAATTAAAGATGGCAAGGCCAATATCCCCACATTCAGCCACTCACCGTAATATTGTTATGAAGACAGGAATACAGAGGCATGAGCGGGTGGAATGATTATGAGGTTGGAAGGGGAATAACACAGATGCAGTCAGCAAGGTCTTTTCCTCAATAGATAGAGTTTCTCTTTTAACAAGAGGTTAATAGAAGCAAGAAGGATCTGCTCCACTGACTACAATGGGTCTTGGATCAGGCCTTAGGTAAACAGAACAGTTCCCCATTGCTGATCCTGGGTGTGGACTCTAACCCCTATAAAGGCATCCTCTACCCTCTGTCTGGTACCCAGCCACTCTTTGCTCCCCAGTTCTTGTGCAAGACAGGGTGGAAATTGAACTCCAGTTAATCCCTTATTCACCAATGACCCCTGCACTCTATCATATGAGAATAACAACAGAACTCCCAATATCATTTTAGAGTTTGCTATCAAGCAAATCCAGCACTATAGGACATGAGTGACGGTCACACCAATAGGACTGGCTTGCATTTAGACCAGTGAAATATTGGGTGTGATAGAAATAGCATCTTCATTTAAGAGGACTGGTAGTGGCATTCCATGTTGCCATTGATTTAGCTAGTGGATTTTGTATCAATTCTTTTACAAACTTTTTGAAGTAATGTGTATATCTGTCTCCTTGGATTAAGGATTCCACTGCATATGTGCATGCTCTCACACACACACACACACACACAGTTTCCCTCCTACTAGTTGTTAGGCCTTATGCAAGGAAGGCGTATTTCTCAGTGGATGATTGTGTTAATGATCATGCTGGTATATATCTCATCTGCCGCTGAAATCCACATGACCCACTTCATACAAGCCAAGATAAACACAGCGGGCTAAACTGATCCCTGGCAATTCCAGATTTAACCCCTGATTCTATCGAGTTGCACCAGGTCCCAGGATGAATTTGGACTAGTGAGCTGTAGTGACTAAAGGCCAAATCCAAGTGTCCTTATTCAGGTCAAACTTCCATTGACATGAATGAGAATTTGGTCGGAGTAAGGACTCAGTAAAACCAGAGAAAAGGCTTCACTATACAGAAGACGACTGATCCAGCAGTTAGGCTGCTAGCCTAGGGATCAGGATGTCAGGAATCGGGACATGCAGCAGAGCCAGTTTCTGGATGACCTGAGGAGCACAGCTGGCCTGTAGTAGGCTGCCCGATTGGCTACCCTACCTGACTTGCTGCAGGAGTCAGCAGACCAACTCTCAAGCCCAGCAGCAGTTCAGCAGCTGCTCAAAGCATTTGCCGATGTCTGTGATAACTCCTGTGCCTGCTTGTTCCCAGCCTTGTTCCAGTCCTGCTCCTGCCTTATTCCAGCCCTGGCCCCAGCCCTTCTCCTGCCTTGTCACTCCACATAACCCAGTTCTGACCCTGAGCTCCAATTCCTGACCTCTGACTTTGGCACTCACCCGTGGCCTCTGACTCCACCTCTGACCCTGGGCTCCAACTCCTGGCTACCAGCTCCTGCTCCGACCACTGTGCGTACCATGCACATCCCGGACACATGAGACGTGAGTTCAATCCCTGTTCCACCACTATATGAACTTAGGAAGTTTTAGGCACTTGCTCTCTGTGCCGCCATTTCCCATGTGTAGAATGTGGATACTAGCACTTCCCTCACTCGTGTGGGTGTTGGGGGGATAAATACACTCACGGCTGTTAGGCACTCAGATACTCCAGTAAATTGTGCCATATAAGTACTTTAGCTAGACAGTTTCGGCCCTAATTCATTAGCCCATTTTTCTTTAAAGCAAAGACTGCATGCTCTCAGTTTACAGAAATTTTTGCTTTTTAAATGCAATGCTTCATCATCTAATGCAAAATTAAAAATGTGTCTGTAGTGTAGCCGGTTTTTAATGAGCAGCCTGCTACTCATTGGATTTATGGGAGCTAATGCTACTTTCTTTCTATAATAAGATTCTGATTAATATTTAAACATTTCTTCCAATAAGAACTGGGACTCATGGGGGGTGTTCTGATTTAATGTTTGCACCTTCCAAGTCTCTATTCACAACTGGATACCAGCCTGTGATAATGAGAAACACCAGCTTGTTAACGGAGATGGGAACAGATGTAATTAGCCAGTGTTTGCATGTTCGCTGGATGATGTACCACCCCCTTCAGATGAAGTGAGGAAAAAATGAGTGTAGCTATTTTAACATTATTAGATGATTAGACAGTCCGTATCTCCCCAAAAGAGTAGACTATTTCCCTTCCAAACACACACAAAATGAAAAAAGCATGCAGTGTTTCAAGTGCAATTCTAGAACATGGGGGAAAAGATCAGATATTTTCATAGGCAGTCCCAAATCAAAAGGTTTCACTTACCAGGATATAACTGCTTTGTTGGTGCACTAAGTTGAGCATCTTTTGTTACTCGAAAAGCAACATCTGCGCCTTTTGAAGATCTTCTGCTTGTGCAAAAACCTGTTGTTTTAGTGATACCGTCAGGTAAATTATGAAAATCTAATACCTTCAAGAGATCTGCAGGTTCAGCTGCAAGAAGAAAAAAGAGGAGAAACCAGAATTAGTAGGCAAAAGTATCAGCGTTTGCAAAGATCCATTAGAATAATACCAATCACCAATAATCATTTTAAAGCAGAACAGATTTTTTTCTAATAAATGTATAGCAAATACATTGCTAATGCCATCTTCAAAACTAGAACAACAGGCTGCTGGTTTGAGATGCTAATTCACCGCAGAGAGGAATAGTTTAGGCACTTATACCTGTATAAGACTAGCATCTACATTCACGCTAGTTCGGATAATGGACTAATCAATAATCAGGCTTCAGGGTATTAACTGGTCGCAGTAGAGAAGAGTTCCGGTCAGGTACTATAGAACCTAAAGGAGCTGTCTGCACTGTACATCCATGGTATCACTCAGATGCATATTCTGTGCATCTTCAAATGTGGAGATAGACTGCTCCCAATGTCAGCTTGAAGCTGGATGTAGAGTAGTCTCTACAGCCTTGGTCCAACTGAGTGACTCATCCCTCCAGGGCTAACTCCTCCCCAGTTCACCTCTCCTTGCCAAAACCTCCTCCTTCCCCTCCAGTGACAGAGCATAGGGACCCCCAGAGGTTCCAACCATCACTCTCTCTCCTAGAATGACAGATTTGTCTTCGCCCTGCTATAACTTAGCACCCAACAAAACCAGCATAAGAACAGCCATACTGGGTCAGACCAAAGGTCCATCTAGCCAGTATCGTGTCTTCCGACAGTGGCCAATGCCAGGTGCTCCAGAGGGAATGAACAGAACAGGTAATCATCAAATGATCCATCCCCTCTCGCCCATTCCCAGCTTCTGGCAAACGGAGGCTAGGGACACCATCCCTGCCCATCCTGGCTAATAGCCATTGATTGGCCTATTCTCCATGAACTTATCTAGTTATTTTTGAACCCTGTTATAATCTTGCAAATGTAGCCTGAAAACGTCTATGGGTGCTACCATACTGAGCACAATTGCTTTCATTTAGCAATAACTGTAACACTAGAGCTGTGCACATTTCTGTAACAACTGAAATCACGCAAAACTCAAGAGTTTTTGATTTGGTTAAGAAACCTGAAACTCAAGCCAGGTTTGTCCAGACCTGCAAAGCTTTTGGTTTTGAGTTAGTCAGGTGAGGCAAAACTTGGTTTCAGATGAAGATTTTGGTTAAGTTTTATAAAACTGAAATACGTGTACACAGAGTTTTGACAACCTTCTAGTGGTCTTTTTAAGTATAGTACAAGAAACGCTTGTTGGACTACATTACCCAGAATCCTTACCCAGGAGTTGGGTGTGTCAGATTTTATTGGGAAAAAAGACATGCATTGTCAGCAGCAAATCTCAGGTTCTTGATCCTTTCTTATAAGCTAATAAAAATCCCCTGTGTGTACAAATGTACTGCAAGCTTTGGTTCAAAGTGAAACTTCGCCAAGTAAAAAAGGCTTGCAGAAAGCAATGCAAACTGAAAGCACAATGGGTGGAAATTTCAAATGTGCACAACACCGGCATACTTCCACTCCAGCTGAAGTCTATGGCATGACTCTCATTGCTTTCAATGAGAGCAGTTAGGTAAATGCTGAGTGCTCTTGAAAATCCTGTCCCATGCTTTGTACAGCTCCAAAGGAAACACTCCAGACAGTGGGGTTTGAGTGGTAGTAGCAATACTGTACATTTTCTCTGTCTGAAGGCAATTGAATTTCAGCCTAGTGTCTGACCACACACCTAAGTCAAGCACACCATAAAATTCACTCTCTTAATCAGGTCTCACCACAGGTCCTACGGTAACGACATGCCCTGACCTCTGCACATCAATCCCCTCTGGCTACTATTATACAAATTATTGTAATTAATAGAAAGGATCTGAGCATTACAAGACAAGAAATGTCCAATTACTGTCTATGCTGGAAAAGCTCATGTCTTGCTTCTCTCCCCCAGCATGGAGCCTGCCACTTCAATTGTGAATTCAGAGAAAACTATGCAGATCAGGCACCTGTGCTGGCAGGGGAGGCAGACTGCAGCAGGTGCGCATTACCACACAAAAACCATCAACGACAATGGGGGAAAGGCTTTCTTATTTCAATATAAAACAGCCTGGAGCATGATCTTCAGTGGAATTCACTGCCTATAGCCTTGTATGCAATACTGCATCAAAATAAGCAATGGAATCATTCCTGCTAACAACATGAAGCAAAAGGTGTAACGCCCCAGCGGGCCTTTTTACCATATCTCATTAGGATCACATCCTTATTAGCATTTGCTTTAGCTAAAAACCTTGAAAAAATCACTAACGGAAGGATTCTATATTACACTCAGAGCCATCAGTCCTAGCTAATTAGGGGTTAGTTTGCATCCAGATGTTAAACCTCTAAAACACCAGTGACATAGCATGCATGGTGCATACCATTAACTGGCTAATCCGGCATTTTTCACATCAGCAGCAGAGATGGCAGATTGGATTAACCAACACAGACTGTAAACATTTACAATAAATTATTGTGAATTTTGACCCAATACTCTGAGCCAAGAGCTGTCAAAAAGATGAACCACCCAACTCTGCAACGATTTGGCACTGCCCAGAGCAATCTCTCCTTGACAGCCTCATTTAGCCTTGCCAAGACAGTACATTTCAGTTTTATTCTCTTAGCAAATTATTTTCCCAGAGGAAATATTTTATTCAACCTTCAAGGACGCAACCAAATATCAGATCGCTCGCTTGGTATCGACATCCTAAACAATGACCTCTAGCAAACTGGCACCCAGCAGCCACAGACATTTTGAAACAGTGTTGCAGTGTGATAAATGTGGCTACGAGTGCCAACTTGTTATTAGCTCAGGGAACGATCCAATGATAATACAATTACTACCAGCCGCCAGATGCGGGATAGCTCCTTTCCTGGAAGAGGACAGATCTCCCAACATTAGTGACACAGAGAAATAAAGTAAGGGAAATCCTTTCAAATGGGGAGACAGAGAGAGAGAGAATACACCTTATATCAGGAGATCAGGCCTATTTTATAATCTGTGATTACTGCCACTTTGAGAATTTGAACAAAATAAATACACAGATAATGATAAGAGATTGACAAATAGGTCTTTTAAATGGAACATATACCAGTTATGAATGAATAAGATAAGCTAATGCTTACATAAGATAAGCTAATACTTACAGACTACATAAATTGTTTAATAATTTTTTCATTCCCAGACAGAAATTAGACCCCCCATGTTTCTGGTATCAGAGGTTATACATATAAATTATGTCCATGCGTCAGAGTAGTATACAAGTTGAAAATGACAAAATGACAAATAAATAGAAAACCCCCACACCCCCTTCCTCCTTTCAGAAATAGATAAATTAAAGGGGGTGGAAATCACATATTATTTGAAGCTTACATGTATAAGTCGTTTATAAAGGGTTAATTCATGATTACATTTTCAAAAATCATTTAAGCAACTG